TAAGTCACGGATACTAGGTAGTAATTTTAAAAGATGTTCACAATCCACTGCGAATTAATTAACACAATAAAAAAAAAACCAATTGCGAAATAAATTAAAATTCATCAAAGCCGAATATCCAATTTAAGAATTTGCCTCATAAAATTTCAAAGCGTGCGAGCCCACTACTTCTCAGCACATTCGAAAATTATATAAAAAATATATTGGAGAGGTTATGGAAATAAAGCAACAAGATTTACTTAAGCATGTAGACATAACTTCGATCTATATGCTAGTGTGAATAACACCGTTCGTTAAAAAAAACAAGAAACACTCAATCACAAGTACCACTCATCATGATCCATCACATGATAATTTATAGTATATTATTAACACTTTATCGGATTATAATTTTTTCAATCTAATAATCATGTCAAAAGATCTCCTTTTATAAATATGAAAATCTCACTAAGATAATATTTTATAATATACCTTTTGTACATAACAAATACAATTATATGTCTGCTAATAATTATATATATATATATATATATTTTCGAGAAATTTTACGGTCTTCTTACAAAATCATTCTGTCGAAATTTGTAACCTTTGGATCAACTATACACGACGGTTACATGATGATCTAATAGTTATAAATTCCGACAAAATAATTTCGCTTTCGCAACAGGACTATATCATTTTCCTATATTTTGAGTCAGAAGTAAAATGGGTAACTTTGCATATCCAGATATTTACATTTAAATAACACTAGTACAACACCCGTGTATTATACGGGTACTTGTTAAATAATTATTCTTAAATTTTAAAATTAATGAGAAACTATATTAAATTTAGTTTACTTTTTTACAAAAAAAATATATTACTATATATTTTATAATGATATGTGTTACTTCTGACTTACATGTGTTATATTATATTTGTTTTTATAACTTATATCATATAACTACTTGAAATATAAACATATTAGTTGATAAATAATTTTATTTTTCTAATTAATATTAAAAATAGTTTTATTATTGTTATAATGATAAATATAAATTATTTTTGTATACATATAATATGGATGTTAAATCGAAACTTATCAAAAGAAGATTAATTTGATATATTACATATGTCAAACTGATAAAAAATATAAAAGTTATTAACTTTTAAAATATTTATACAATTCAATAGTTATAATAATGAATGATATTAAAATGCAATTAATACATGTAACTATGTAACATGACCATAAATAATCAACATATTTATGGTAATCCGAACTTAATTATTTTTTTTTTGTTTGGAATTAAATTAAAATTTACCCAAGCCTAATAACGAAGTATGTAATTTTGCCACATAAGATTCCGAAGCACTAGAAACAACCACGTAGGCTCGGTCTGAATTAATATATAGAGAGAAAGAGATTTAACGATACTTTTCGTGATGCTGTACCGTGCATCGCGCGCAAAGTGCAGTAGTTTCCCAAACACAATCACTGGCGTTGAAGGGGCAAAATAGTCAAATTGAGTGTTTTCTTTCTGGCATAAGGGGAATTGCCTTGGCTCCCGCCATAAACAATCACAGAGAGAGAGAGAGAG